GGAACAAGTTGATAATTATAAAAATCGGCTTTTCCTTGAAATGGTACACATTAATAAAACTCCTGAATCTATCAATTATAAGGCAGACACCAACCCTTTAAGTAATATCTACTGCAATATACTAAACATTATATGATATGATAGGTCTTAATATCATTATTACAATAACTGACTACGTATCATCGATTACATTTTATAGATCAGTTTACCATGTTACTGATTCTTTCTCAATTTTCTACTTTTCCACCTTATAATGCACTCCATAAAATATTGCGGTTACCATAACTCCCAAATAAATTAAAATCAAAAATGTCATTTAAGTAGATATGTTATCAAAATTTAAATTGTTACTCTTATAGTTGTAAGTATTGCAATATTTAATTTATTTACATATATTAATTATTATAATAAATTTACAGTTTTTTCCTGAAGAAGCCACAAAATCGTGACGAAATATTGAGACATGGAACAAATAGAGTTTCATTTTCTTATACCAATCGCTGATACTATAAATCAATATATATATATATATATATATATATATATATATATATATATGTACTTTACAAAAAAATATTTTTGTTTAATTTCGCTTAAGTATAAGTCGGAGTAAAAGTGACTAAACAAATAAATTTAAAAAATCTTAAAGAACTCAAAATAACCTTCTGACGTCATTGGGTCGACGGAATCTTACGAATTTACATTAAAAATAGTAATAAAAATATTAATGAATCCCGAAACCTAGGTTAACAGATGTGTTAAGTCATAGATCAACTTTTAGTTATTTTAAATCAATGCTCATATGTAAAAAATGTCATCACTCTTAGCTAAGTTGCCAAACACTACAAAAAATAATAAGGTTTCACAATATCATACTTTACTTCTACTGGGTAAATTAAGCGGCAAATCCATTATAGTTCAGCCGTAAAGCAAGCGTAGGTTTCGTAAATTATGTTTGATAAGTGTATTTGTAAGAGTTCAAACTACCTATATAAAAGGTAAGTTTTTGTATAAAGTGTGTACACCAACGCTGTATACAACGAAAATATGCAAAGTCTTACAAAAAAATAATATTACATTGGATATAATTTATTGTAATTTGAATTCAGAAAAGTTAAGATTAAGAACTATACTTGCTACTATATACTACTATCTACTTCCACTATATACTTCTATATACTATCTACTAAAAGCTAATTTAAGAAACCTCAATAAAGAAATAAAACGAAGATGTAAGGCCGACAAAAAACAGTACTATCAAAGTATATGCAAAGAAATTGAGAGACATGGTCAGAATAATCAGCCGAGAGATCTATTTAGAAAAATACGCTACCTGACAAGAGACTTCAGAGCCAGAACTTGGGCCATTGAAGATAACACTGGAACCCTGAGAACAAACAAAGAAGACATAGCAGAGACATGGAGATCGTATTGCAGGGACATATATAAAGATGATCAAGGCCAAGAGCTTGTTAGCCAAATCTCTGACGAGGTGAAAGAAGAACCTGATATACTTGAAAATGAAGTAAGACAAACTATCAACAAGCTCAAATATAACAAAGCACCAGGTCCAGATATGATAACAGCAGAAATGCTTAAAGCCACAGAAGAAACCAGCGTAAAGTTACTTCATCTACTCTGTAACCAAATATGGCATTCCAAACAATGGCCTGAAGACTAGACAAAATCTACAATAACGACCATACATAAAAAAGGCAGCTTCCATAAATGCGACAATTATAGAACTATCTCTCTTATATCCCATGCCAGCCAGATAATGCTACATATAATCAATGAGAGACTGAGAGACATTCCTTCAAAGAGAAATTTCACAAGAGCAAACTGGATTTACCAAAGGTAGAGGCACTCGAGAACACCTGCTGAATATAAGATAGATAATTGAGAAATCTAGGGAATTCAACATCCCACTATACATCTGTTTTATAGATTACCGTAAAGCGTTCGACAGGGTCAAGTGGAGACACTTATGGCGAATACTAAAAGAAGTAGGCGTACCACAACATCTAATTACGCTTATAACTGAACTATATGAACACACTACTGGATCAGTTAAAGTACTTGACACACTTTAGAACGAGTTTCATCCTGAACGGGGTGTCAGACAAGGAAGTATACTATCTCCACAATTATTCAACATATATGGAGAGTATATTATTCGAAGAGCACTTGAAGGATGGGAAAAGGGCATCTCAATAAATGGTCATAAACTAAAAAACCTACGTTTCGCAGAGGACACAGCCCTTCTTGCAAATAGTCAAGCAGAGCTGATGGAACTTATACGACTGATCGAAAACGAAAGTCAAATATTTGATCTGCAATTAAACATATCAAAGACAAAGATCATGATAGTGGATAGACTACACAACAATCATCCACACATAACCACAATTGACCGGTTCGAGATTGTGAGCTCATACTTATATCTGGGATCATTAATTACGAACACAGGGTCACTACAAGAAGAGACTAAACATATATGTGATCTAGCAAAAGTTGCCACAGCAAAAATGACCAAAATATGAAAGGAATGTTTAATTTCAAGAGCGATAAAGAATTTCCAATACTGACCTACGGATTTCAACAAGAAATAGAACAATCAACAAGTAGAACAAATAATTCAATTTTAAGAGAGCTAAAAGTTAGCCAACGTCTCTCTAGTAAAGTCCATCTCCAACAATTAAAATATTTTGGGCATGTTATAAGAGCAAACACAGAAAATATGGAAAGACTCATAATACAAGGAAAGGTAGAAGGCCGAAGATCACGAGGAAGATCCTCAACAAGATGGATAGATCAAATTATAGGAATATGCCAAAGACCTATGCATGAATTAAAAGAAATGACCAGAGACAAAGATCTCTGGAGACGGACAATACACAACATCACGTCGACCACTACACTCCCCCTGGGGGGTCAGGATTGAAGAGAAAGAGACTTGCTACAGTCATTACAAGAAAGCATATAATATGAATTGATATGAACAACTTATACGACTTCTTTAAATATCAAATTTAGGTAGTTAAGACACGAATGATTAATAAACTTTACTTTAATCAACACAATGGTACAGAAAATCGACTTCATCTTTATTGAGAGCCGCTGTCAATAAAGTCACGATAGCAAATATGGTGGCCAACATGATATTCAACGATCGATAAAAAGCATAGAACTAAAAAGAACTTGTAATAATCAAAAAGCTACAGTATAAATCGAAGCAACATATTCTTCCTGGTCGCTAAAAGAATCTCTGCTTGTAGTTTAGTTGATACTTGTACCATTTGGTGATTTGTCTCTTGCAGTTTTGACCACTCCGGTCTTCTCCATTCTACTTCTTTCTGTGTAGTATTTACTCGAATAAACACTGTACGTTAGATTGTCGTCTGATGTCTCCAGCCCTTTTTATTGTGTTTCACCATATAATCCTGTAAGTCTATTTGCTTTTCGTACTTGATCTCTAACTTCCCTTTCCATATTTATATAGCTGGACAGCGTAAATACAAGGTATTTTATTTCCATTACTTGTTCTAGGATTGCAACATTTGTAGATGATACTGCTTTCCTAACAACTTATAAAAACCCAACAATAGCATCAGAGATACTGTATATAAACTGTATCAGAGATAACTATATCTAAACAAAAGTTATAAATGATTTAAACTCTGGAAAATTTATTCTCTCAAAATCTACACATATTACATTTACTCTAAGAAGAGGTATATGTCCACAAGTTAACCTCGATGGACATCCTTTAGTCCAAAAAGATGACGTAAAATATCTAGTCATTCGTCTGGACAAACGATTAACATGAACCAAACATATGTGGACAAGATAAGACTACAACTAGGAGTTTTATACAGAAAACTTTACTGGATGCTGGGAAAAAATGCACACGTATCGATCGACAACAAGCAACAAGTTATTAATTTTATGAGATTTATTAAAAAGATTTTTAACAGCAAAGCCTTTTTAAATAAGAAATTTTAAGGAATAAGGAATCTCATAAAAAAAGATTTAGCATTTAAAATTCCTATACCAATAATCCTAAAATTAACTGACATAAAAGTAGTCGAAACAATAACAATAATAGATAAGAATAAGATAAGAATAGATAATTGCCATACATTAATGGTTTTTCTCCAAAAAACATTGAAGGTATAACATAAATATAGAATATAAATCACCAAAAACATTTAGCAAATATTTTTCAAAATTCAAATATATTGTCAATAAAGACAAGCCATCTGCTGTAGTTTATGAAATAAAATATAAAAAATTTAACTCCTTATATCTTGGACAGACGCATCAATATTTACGTAGACGAATTATAGCGCATAAAAACCTTGACCAAGCATTCCTTGAAAAATAACCATTCTTTTGATTTGGAAAATATATAGATTTTTAATATTAAAGACCACTTCAATATAATGTTATAATTTAATTATATGGAGCAATTACAAAGTTCCATATATAATATATAAAAATATATTTTTTAAATGCGTTAAGAAAAAAACAAATCTGTTTCTTCAATATATAAATTTTCAAACATAATTAGGAATAACAGATTAAACTGTTTGTTAGACTAAGTACATTATCCACTTCGTCTTATATATTTCCTATATATATATATATAATATTCCCTCTTAGTATATAACATTAAAAGATGTCATATCAATAAAAAATAGGTTTCTTATCCTCTAAAATATCTCAAATAACATGTAAAAATCATGCGAGATGGAAGTTGAAACGTCTGCTAAAACATTTCTGAGAGCTTCCGTGGTTAATTCCTAAAAATATATTAATTTAAAGAATCATGCGATGCAAAATATCTTTCTTATATTCAAATACTGATATTGAGATACTTAGTATATTTTCATAAACATAATAAACATATATAAGTAAAAAAACCTTATTATTTTTTTCAGTTATCTTTAAGCCAAACCAAACTATGTAAACTAAACTAGCTACCACACGATACACACCTGAGGAACACTGACTTTAGCAGCAACTGGTGCGGCTTGTTGTCCAGGTATAAACAAGCTTTCCGTCCTCTTAGGCTGATTAGGAGATGGCACGATGTCTTGACCCAATCCTCGCTTTCTCATAATAATATCTTCGAAAGGTGGAACAGGAGTAGTACTGTTTCCGGTCAATTTGGCGTTATTGCCGGTCATTTTCGCAGCATTACCAGTCATCACAGATCCGTTTTTGGCTGCCGGTGAGGGGTTAGTCAGACCGGGTGGCGCCGGAGTACTACCTCGGGCTGTTGAAGGCGCTCGAAGTGTTCGGTCAGGAGTTTCGGTGGATCTGTTTACCGGCGCACGATCTACTGACGGTTGCCTTGAGCTCATTGTGTTACTTAATCTACCTGTTGCTCGAGAATACCTGAAATATAACAAATAAAATCATACGTAACAAATGCAAGTTCTCATAAGAAAAATTGAAAAAACTGATCATAAAAAACAAAAAGTATAAATGCAAGTTCTTTGATTATTAGTCATTAGGCACTTGATTCTTTGTTGCTGAAGTATATTTTACAAATGTATGGTTATTTTCCATTAGGGATAAAACCTGTGACTTTAACGGTATAATATGCTAAGAAAGTTAATGGCAAATTCTCCCAATATTTCTGTATTCATGTTATCGTGATAATTACCCGATTTTAATTTTGATGAAAACACAAGATACGCTCCAATAACAAAACCATGAATTTCACTTGCATGTAATAAAATATTTCCCTTTTTTCTCAGTATAATATTATCTGTTTTATTCCAACTTTAGCGTTCATCCAAAAATCCACGTTTTATCTTAACAAAAAAATATTATTTTTTTTAAATTATTGCAGATTCTTAAAACTCGATTCTTTTGTTAACGACACCAGCTATTTAACACAAGGTTTTTCTATTGTCTTTCATTTTGAATCTAAACCCAGTCTGTTTGAAAACTCTCCAGAGACCCACTCTGGAAGTTTCGAATGTATTGCTATCTTCTATTTTTTTTAAACACCGTCTCTACGGAAACATGTTTTTTCTTATCACTTATTTTATATATAATGTCTAGAATTTCAAACTTACTACCCTCAGGAAGATCTTTTCTTCTTGAAGATTTTACCAAAAATGTTTTTATTACTAGAGCAATTTATTGTCGTTTTTATACTATACACTAGAGTGGACCATTGACTGTCGAGTGTTTATCGATACTCCAAAACAGGTGCAAATTCGTGAAGTGTAATAAAAAATAAGAAACCAGAAATGTTAGTAAAATGTGGACTAGAAAAAACAAATACAAAAAATATCGGTACCTACTTTAAAATAGTCAATAAGTAATATTACAAATAAACTGACAAATTAGATAACTTCAAAATAACACAAAGATTTTGGACGACAATGGTAACAGTAAAAACTAAAATAGAAGAGTCGAAAGAAAATGCAAAAAAGTATTTTTGAAGTGTGTATATTTTAGGCAATTCCTAGCTGAGCGCTTTCGGCTTTACAAAGCCATCATCAGAGCTATGGTCAATTTTTTAAATACCACTACAAAGGAGAGATCTCATTTGCTTATATTTCAAAATTATGATTTTTTAAGTGGTTGAAATTCTTAAAATATATAAAAAACATATAAAAAGCCGACACTGGACTTCACAAACACGTTAAAAAATTGATTGAAAAAAATTTTTTGTCATGGTACGGGTGTAAGAACCCGACCATTGATTGATGTGAAGATGTAGACAGAACGTGTTTGTGAAGTCCAGTGTCGGCTTTTTATATGTTTTTTTATATATTTTAAGAATTTCAACCACTTAAAAAATCATAATTTTGAAATATAAGGAAATGAGATCTCTCCTTTGTAGTGGTATTTAAAAAATTGACCATAGCTCTGATGATGGCTTTGTAAAGCCGAAAGCGCTCAGCTAGGAATTGCCTATAATATACACACTTTAAAAATACTTTTTTGCATTTTCTTTCGACTTGTCATAAGTGTGTACAAAAAATATCAGTCTTTTGATTGATTTTTAAAATAGAAGAAAGTGGACATGTAACAGTTGTAAAAAAACATTGACGTTCATAATATTTTCATTGATTTTAAACAGCCCACAACCCATTCGTAATCAGCTAGTTAGTTATTCTTATGCAGTTTCAACATTTACCCCAAATAACATCCGACTAATAACCGCAATGGTGGACTTCATCATCTATCTTCTTCTTAAGGTGCCTTTTCCATTACTGAAGGTTGGCTATAACTACAGAAAATTGCTCTCTATCTTGAACTGTCGTTAGTATCGAATGTGTGTCTATACCTGTCCACTCTCTTACATTCTTCAACCAGGAGCATTTTCTTCTTCCTGGACCTCTTCTTCCTTCCACTTTCCCTTCCATTATAAGTCGTAGGAAGTTGTATTTTTCTCCTTTGTAAATATGTCCTAGATAATCCGTTTTTTTTTTGTTTTTTACAATATTTAGGAGTTCTCTCTCAGTACCCATTCTTCTTAGCACCTCGTTGTTGGTCACGTGCTCGTGCACGTGATCTTCAGCATCCTTCGAAAAACCCACATCTCAAAGGCTTCTACACACCTCATACTTGTAATTCCGAGAATCCATGTTTCCACTCCGTATAGCAATATGGAATAAATAAACGTTTTTACAAATTAGTATCGGATATCCATCGATCATGTAGAGTTTATTAGGAATTTTTTCATTCGTTGAAATGCGGACCTAGCATATTCTATACGAGCACGTATCTCGACCTCGTGGTCAAGATCGTTTGTTATCCAACAACCAAGATACTGGAATCTTTGTACTGGTTCTATATGTTTGTTATAGATACGAATATTAATGTAGACATTTGGTGCACGTGTAACAGCCATTACTTTTGTTTTATTTGTGTTTATATTTAGTGCCAAGCTATTTCCCTCTCTGGTTATGACATTCAAAAGTCGTTGTAAACCCTCAGTACTGTCCGCAATAATGACGGTGTCGTCTGCGTATCTTAAGTTGTTTACGTATTCTCCGTTGATTTTTATTCCTTCTTCAATATTTTCGAGGGCATTTTGAAAGATCTTTTCGGAATATATATTAAATATCAGTGGAGAAAGTACACAGCCCTGGCGAAATCTTTTTTTTTTATTGGCAATTCTGCTGTCAGACGATTGTCTATTTTGATAGACGCCATTTGATCCCAATATAGTTTTTTAATAATTGCTACAGTGTTATGGTCTATACCATGTTGTGTTAGGGTTTCTATGAGTTCTGTGTGTTTTACTAGAGCAAACGCTTTTTTGTTGTCGATAAAACAGAGAAACACGTCTTTCCGCTGATTTCGGCATTTTTGTAGTAATATCTGGAGGCCAAATAATGCCTCCCTTGTACCAAGCACCATACGAAATCCAAATTGATTGTCGCTCAAGTTTCTTTCGCATTCTCTGTATATTCGTTGATGTACAATTTTGAGTAAAATTTTCAGAAAATGGCTCATCAGGCTAATTAATCTGAACTGTGAGCATCTATTTGCTTCATTTTTCTTGGGTATATGTATAAATATCAATCTAAGCCAGTCTTCTGGAAAGATTCCAGTGGTATATATTTTGTTAAATAATATTGGTTATGTCTGAAGATTTTCTTACGTATATTTCATCTGGATCTGAGGCATTTGGTGGCTTTGCCGTATTGATTGTTTTTGTAACTTCCGATGTTAATATATCAAGTATTGTTTCTTGTACTATATTCATTTGTGGTTCTGTTCTCTCGTCATCATACAAATCTTCGATGCATTTTCCCACATATCTCCTACATTTTCTGGACTAGATACTATTTCGTTGTTATCACCTACTACAGGATGTTGTAGTGATTTTTTTCTTCATATTTTTGACTTCCTTAATCTTTTTGTATGCATTAAAGTAGTCATGCCTTTTAGTGAATCTCCCAGTTCCTCACACTTGCTGCTCATCCATTCTTCTTTGGCTTTCCTAATTTTGTTTCGGATGATTCTCTGGGTTTCTTTATATTTTTCTTCATTGCTATTTTTGTAAGATCTCCTTATGTCCATCAGTTCTATGACTTCTTCTGTCATCCATGTATTCTTTGTTTTTCTGACGTTGTCTTGTAGTTGTTCTCTTTGTATAGTTGTTTGGAAGATGTGCTAATTACCTTCTATTGTTTTTTCTGCTTCCGCAAGTTATTCACTGAACTTTTCTTTGAGTGTATCATTAAGTGTTTTCTCTATTTCTGCCTGTACTACTGGATTTTTAAGTTTTTCGAGGCTAGGTTTTATCTTCTCTCTATATTTGATTTTCTTTAGTTTGATTGAAATTTTACCAACAACAGGATTGTGGTCGGAACCGATGTCTGTCCCGGGATAGGTTTTAACTCCCCTAATTCCATTTCTATAACGTTTGTCAATTAATATATAATCCATCTGGTTTCTTAATATGCGGTTTTGATTATCGCCAGGTGCTTTCCATGTATATAATCTTCTTTTGGGTTGTTTAAACCAGGTGTCTGCGATCATTAGACTTTCTTCTTGGCAAAATCGGACCAGTATTTTTCCTCTATCAATTCTTTGGCCCAAACCAAAGATTCCTACTACGTCTTCGGTCCGCCCTTCACCTACTTTGGCATTAAAATCTTCCATAATAATGTTTACAGCATTTTTCTTTGTGATCTTCATTAGCTGTTTGATCTCTTGGTAGAATTCTTGTACTTCTCTTTCTGGTTTTTCTGCTGTAGGAGCATCTACTTAAATAAAGTTAATATTACGAGGAGTGGTATTAATTTGTAGCATAGCTACTCTATCAGATATAGGTATAAAGTTCTTTATACATTTACTGCTTTTCTGGTCAACTATAAATGCAACTCCGTTATAATGATGAGGATCGTTATTACCAGCATAGTATATCACATGGTTATCGATGTTTGTCTGTCCAGATCCAGGCCATCTAACTTCACTGACTCCGAGAATGTTGACTCCCATTATTTTCATTTCTTTCACGATGTTATGAGATTTTCCTGACATAAAGAGTGATTTTGCATTCCAGGTTTTATTACTTTTCCAGCATTTAATTAGCTTTGTATCGAGACCTGAAGATGCTTTACATATTGTAGAAAGCGAAACCGGCCGTCTAGATAGTTAAATTAAACTGATTGTAAGTCTTATTTATTATTTTTTTACAAATTTGTATTTTTATTTACATTTTTCATTTCTAAACAACTTTTGAATTGTTAAGAATATCCTAAACTATCGCGATCACCATCTTTGGCTTCATATTTTTAATAGTTGATCAAAGTATACACTCACAAGGAGGTTTGCAACTTCTTATATCTTAAAAGATAGGTAAGCTGTTGCACAAACTACCTTTATTTAATGAATATTTTCTTCACATTTTCAAGGGTTTTCATTGTCAATAATCTAGTCGAATTATTTTGGTGTAATGGTATAAATTTTTTTGTCTTGTCTATATCAGATCGTGTTTCTGCTGCGTACGTTAAGATTGGTTTGACTGTTTTGTAAATTCTGCTTTTAATTTCTTTCCCGATATTTTTATTTCTCCATATTGTTAAATAATGGCAACCTGCGGCTCTGTTTGCTCTGTTCATTTGAACTTTAACTTTTGTTTCGAGCTTTCAGTAGATTCAATAGTTTTTTGGTAATATCCGATCATTTGTACTTTAGAAGTTCATTCGGTATTTGGCACTCGGTATTCGGTATCCAATTATCACTCAGGTGGAATATTTTCTTCAATATAAGGTTGAATGTTCGAATAATTAAACTTTGAGAGTATACAAGGCAACTATCGAACACGGTGATTAATTTAATCTTGCCCAAGTACTTTTGATCAATCGATCATCTTCAGGGGCATTTCGTCAGTTGTGGCCTATCCGACATAGTAGAATGTTATAAATGTAAAATTTGGACATAACAATACAAAATACAATACATTAAGACAAACAAACACTTTAAAATATATAAGGAGAAGCTACATGTTGTATAGAATTCTGTCTCCGGCTTCTATACAACATGTAGCTTCTCCTTATAAATTTTAAAGTGTTTGTTTGTCTTAGTGTATTGTATTTTGTATTGTTATGTCCAAATTTTACATTTATGACATTCTACTATGTCGGATAGACCACAACTGAGGAAATGCCCCTGAAGATGATCGATTGATCGAAAGTACTTGGGCAAGAGTAAATTAATCACCGTGTTCGATAGTTGCCTTGTATACTCTCAAAGTTTAATATTTTCTTGTTATTTAAGATAAGGTTGAAATGTTTTGTTATTTTCAAAAAGAAACTTTTGGAAAATTGTTAAAATTAAAAAATTTAGGATTTGCTCTTTATGAAAAAGACGGAGGATTTTGTTTGCAAAAATCTTAACATCGGGACACACAATATACACAAAGATATTGAAGCAGTAAAAATCATCATATATCTATAAAGATTAATTCTTTTCCTTTCGAAGGAAATTCTTCAAAAGGAGACGGTGCAATAAGAATCGAAAATTTCGAAATTCGAAAAAAGTACCTCACCATTGGTAACTTTTTGTATCTATAGAATTCTCAGGAAGATCTTTATAGAGTGAATAACATAAACAGAAATTCACATTTGACTCACATGTTTCGTTCTAAAACTGTACACCCTGAATCGAAGATTGAGATGTATGAAACCGTGATTAGACCAATATGTCATGCATTTTGGGCATTCAACTCTTAAAAAAAATACTTTAAGAATGATCTTTTGATAAATGGACAAAAATGAGATATGAATATTCATATATATTGGCAACAGCTTACCGAAAAAACCCTTAATAGTAAACTGTAGATTAAAACTTAATTTAATACTAAATCAGAATTCAGTACTTGGAGATAAGCAGAGCATGATGAACAATGTTAGTCAAAGAGAAGAAAAATATATGTGTGAGTCGCAAAGTAAACATTTATAAGCTTTTAATAATAACAAATTAATTTACCTATCAACGCTGGAGTCTCTACTAGGCGGCCTCTTGTAATGGTCAAAATGGTCTATTGAGGACTGCTGTCCGATATTTCCTAAGTATGGTCGATCTCCCGATACCCTCCTTGACATTCTCCTTATAGCATTACCCTGCATGGTTTCTTCCGTGGGTATTGAGTTTCTCGGCGAAACGGCATTTTTAAAACCAATTTCCTGGTTAGTTCCCTTGAAACCAATTTCAGTATTAGGTGATGATTTAAAGCCTATGTCGTGCGTTATATCAGCAGGGTTATTGGGATGGAGTGGTCCATGGTCATTTACAAGTGTTTGGGAAGGATTACTGGCACTATTATAAGGATTACTACTGGAAGGATTGTTATAGGGGTTGTTCGTTTTAACATTAGGATCTAAGTACTGCGCTTGAGGGTATGGATTGGAAGGTTGCTGCGAGTAACTGTTACTTTGGTTTTGACTAGATTGGCTAGGATTCGTCCATCCCATTTTATATTGGGATTGGTTAGACATTTGGGTTGCTTTATTGGGTATTTGGTTGGGGATTTGGTTCGGAATTTGGTGAGGCATATTAGACATTTGGTTAATGGAGTTCATTGTAGGTTTCTTATCCATATCGATGCTCTGATTTTGCATTTGCATTTCCCTATATTTATTTTGTCTAGCCTTTAACCTCTCCAAACCTGGTTGTTTAAAATCTGGCGCATACTGCTTAGCAACTCCTTCCGCAATATCTGAATCTTCTCTAGCATGAGCTGCAGCTATGTCAGCTTGCTCAGCCTTTCCCCTAGCTGTAGCTGTTCGATTGATAGCTATATCGGATTTTTGTAATGCTATTTTTGAAGCTCGTTGGGCAGCATTTACAGCAGCATCTATCCTTTCCCTAAATTTAGCACTTCTCATTAAAAAAAGCTTTTTCTTTTGACTAGTTATTAAAACATTATTTTTATATTTCCCTTCCTCTTTTTCGCCGTTACTAAAAGTGGTGACACCGTAGCCATACTTTTTGTTATTATACCATTCACCTTCGTACTTAAGACCATCTGATCGTTCGCTAATACCGTAACCTGATCTCTTATCGTTTTTCCATTCCCCCATATATGTTTCTACAACACTTGGATCCATAGTTTCGTCCTGTAAACAAAATTAACAGTTATTAATGAACGTCATGTAAATAAAATTTAAAAAATGTTTATTTGGAATTAAAACTACATATTTTCCCAAGACAATAATGTAAAAAAAATTATTCTATAATCCTGTTTAAATGGTTTATTTTCGTCATTGTAATTAGCAATACGAGTATGACTTTAATATACCAAATTGTAGAAAAATTATTCTTTTTCAGTCTAAGAAACCGTCGTATGTCAGTTGATTATCTTAACTTTATAACTTTATAATATTATAGAACACCTATTAACTCCAGTATATATTAATTTGAATTGGCAACTCTGATAGCTCAATCAGTTTTCATTGTCATGTCAACAAGTTATTGTTCGCTTTTATTGTTGTGAGCTATTTACTAAATTAAACAGCTTCCGATGCTCTATATCGTATACTTTTCATTAAGTAAGTTTCAAACTATAATTTCGTAGTAATTTTATCCGCTAATAAACTTATATATGGCAATAAAACACTGAAAACTTTTGTTTTCAACAATTTTACAAATTTTATTACAATTTACGATCACTACAGCTGTTTCACCAGAGTGCCTTTCTCAAGTGAGCTAAAGTTATTTTTGTTACGCGTCTAACACTTTCTAGTCTTTACTAAGTCTAGTCTAGTCACTAAATAAGGTCCTAAGAGGAACAACCGTTTGTCCCAAATTGGTCATTGAGAATTGTATTATTATTATCCACCTTAGATGCGGTCACAGAAGTAACCTCTTTAGTTACACAGGATACAAAAAGATGGGTGACTCTCATCCTGTTCAATGTCAAGAATACCTTTAATATGGCATCATGGGAAAATATCATGTATAGGCTTAGAGAATTGGGCGTTAGTGAATATCTGGTCAACGTAATTGACAGATACTTCACTGACAAGTCCATAAGAGAAAAAGATACCAGTATCAGTTTGTCGCAGGGTGTTCCACAGGTTTCAGTACTAGGTACCATCTTGTGGAATGTCCTGTACGACGGGGTGTTGAGGTTACAGATGCCAAGGGGATGCACTCTTGTAGCTTATGCTGATGATCTAGCACTGGTTGTGAAGGCGAGTCAGAAAACGGGCATGGCTAATGCGGCTAATACAGCCCTGCGTCGCATTAGTAGGTGGATCAGAGAGAACGATCTACAGCTAGCGCCTCAGAAATCTGAGGTCTTAGTTCTCAAAAGGACCAGGGAAAGATCCTCTCTTCGTTTTATAGTGGAGGGTGTGGAGGTTGTACCGGTTAAATCAATTAAATATCTGAGAGTCTGGTTGTCAGAAGGCCTAAGGTTTGGAATACACATCCAAAAGACAGTAGAGAAGGCAAACCGAAATCTGGAAGCGTTGATACAGTTGATGCCAAACATTGGAGGCCCAAGAAGCACCAAAAGGAAGGTGTTAAATGGAGTTTTCCAGTCGGTAAAAACCTACGCTGTCCCTGTGTGGTGTAGTGTACTAAACACTGCGAAATACGCTAAGCTGGAGACTTCTCAAAGACGAATGCTCCTCAGGGTGTCTAGTGCATATAGGACGGTCTCTAATATCATTGGAGCGGTGATACCGATCGTTTTGTTGTGTAAAGAGCGAGCGAGGATGTATGCAAGGAGGATGGATGTAAATATACATGAGAATAAAAGAGAAAGAACGATAGTAGAGTGGCAGAAAGAATGGGCGAATGATAATGGAAAGGCAAGGTAAACGAAGGAGCTTATTCCCGATCTGAGACCGTGGTGAGAATGTATGTTTAGGAAACTAGACTACTTTCTGACGAAGTTTCTGACCGGACATGGTAGTTTTGGCACCTTCGCAAATAGAATAGGCAAATCTGCCCCGGCAGACTGTACTGTTTGTGCGATACCGGATGCTGCCGTCCACATTTTTAACTGCCAGAGATGGGCAAATGAGAAGGGAGATTTCGAGAGGCGAATGGGTTTCGGGCTGGATGAAAGAAATATTGTAAACATTATGTTGAGAGGAGAGAAAGAATGGAGAGAAGTACACTGTCTGATTTCTGGGGTGATGAAGAAAAAGGAAAAGGAGGACAGAAGAGGAAATTAAGCCAGGGATCTAAGAATTTATAGTTAATATTGTTTATTAATTCATGATCTAAGGTCTAAACATTTTCTGATTTACGGTAAAAGGTATGGTTATATATAAATTTTTATTTGTTTATTGAGTGACAAGACCATCTCTCTGGAACGGTGGTTAAGGTTTTAGCCGGTTAATCCGGCACTACCCTGGTGTCTTCTGGCTTAGTATCCCTCTCAGCCGAAAGATACCAGAGTGTCTTGATTTCCCCTACGTTGCCTGCCAGAATCCAATGGATACCTTCTTACTGGAATCTGGCAATACGGCAATTAAAAGAAAAAAAGTAGGGGACCAACCGTTTGTCTCAAGTTGGCTATTCAGAATTGTATCTGCATTTTTTAATTTTTTAACTGAGATTCTAATAATGATATCTTAAGACCTTTATTTTAAACGTGAAGAATTTGAAATTGGTAATTAAAAGAATGATTGTGATGTAGAAGGTAAAATGTTTAAGTAGAATATGTTCTTCTACTATTGGCAGTTCTCTCCTCCTACACTTATTTAGTTAAAGACTATAAAGTGTTAGATGTATTACAAGAATAGCTCACAAATCATTTGCAGATCATTTAATGATTTTTATAAAATACGAAGAAATCTACAATGCCAATAATATATCTATAGATACTTCAACTCAACAGGTAACTCAACTCAACTCAACTCAACTTAAGGAGATAGTAATAAGGCAAAATCCGGACATTATCTGCATATCGGAATCACTCGACAAGACGAATACTCAACTACCAAGGATCACAAATGGTATTAAACACAGAAAAGTTAAAAACAGTAGGTATCAAAATAGGGATAACTAACATTTTTTTCTATTTACACTTGACCTAGTCAACAGAAGAAGTGGAAAGAAAAATAAAAGCAATAACAAAATAATCCAGCAATATATGAAAGAAAACATCCCTAATGGAATAACGAACAATAGAGGACTAATGATACCGAACGAACTAAAGGTAATTAACAAGGAGAGAAACAAGAGCCTTCCAAAGGACAAAAAGACAAGGGTTCAATGAGTACAGAGACGAACCATTCGAATAAAGAATAATAAGACGATGAAAAATAATAATAGAAGTCTCACAGAAAACAGGTGGCACAAAAACATCAGGAAAGCAGAAGAAAACCTTAAAAACGTGTAGAAAATGCTGAAGGCAAAGCAAAAAAGAGAACAAATAACACCGCAAATAAAAGGCGACGAGAGAATAAAAAGGAGAAACGAATTTTTAGTAGAGGGAGAAGACTACATTAATCCAACAGAAGCTGCTAAAATTATCAGAAGATTACAAAGAAGCAGAGCACCAGGAGCAGAAGGAATTCACAATATATTTCCTCAAGAGAAGAAGATGCAATTCTATTATATCTGCAAATGCTTTCTGGAAAAAGCGCATTTTCCGAACAACTAGAAACATGCCAAAATAATCACTTACTAAAACCAAGGAAAACCAGTTTAAATTTAAAAGAGGAAAAACTGCGAATTTTAACTAGCAGGAGTTATCAGCTACAGGAAGATTAAATTCACAGGAAACAGAAGACAGAAATGGCGTTACTAGACACAATTTGTAATATTGGGGAACATCAAGATTATTATCTAACCTCATTTTTTAAAAGCTTTCTCCTTACTTTTAAAATTCTGTATACAAAAGATTGTATACAGAATTCTGTATGTTTTGTTTTGTATTGAAAGAATTCCTATACGTGTACCTTTCACATAATTGTTTATTAAAAACCGACTATGGCTATCATATCTATCGATATCTCTCTAATGTTCATACTTAGAAAAACCATTACTCATTCTTATCTATTTGGTTTTTTCAGAAATAATGTTCCTATTTATTTATTAAACCGAGTTTATTGGTCGATGAAATTAAATAGGACATAATTTAAGATGGTTAAGACACATTCAAAGTCGAAATATGGATCAAGACAGATTACGAAGAAATTCATACTATTAACGTCCTGGAAACGGGCATTAGAGAAGAGCAAAATTGGGTATAGTGAAAGAGAGTTCTGTTAAACATGTATGTAAGAAAATTAATATTGGTCTTAGCCAAGACAAAAACATATGCCAGAAGTATAACAAATTTATTTATATAGTTTAATCTCCATATTGGAAAACGTTTCGCCAAAATTATGCAAAATGATATTATAACGCTTGATAAATTTTATCATTTTATACATATCGTTTAAATTTCTCAGCAGGACATCGGAGGGTATTAAAAATATGGATACAGATGATGCACGGCATTATTACAAAATTTCATATTCACTTTTTGGCAACAACCCAAGATCAACCTTGAATATTTATTTCGGATAATCCTTGTTCATTTGTTTTTATTTATCTATTATTACCAGAGCACACTAACACACATTAGCGTAGAGATGATTAAGTTTTGCTGCATTAACAAAACCGCAGTATCTGGCACCACTTTTTAAGCAGTCATCGTAAAATAGACACTAAATTTTAACAATTGGAGTCGTACATCATGTAAAACATTAATCTTTTAGTACAAATGTTAATAATTTATGAATTCCAAATCCGCAATATGAGACATAATTACCAAGTCCGAAATTCTCGTAAAAAAATTGTAGATCTAATATTTATGTTCTATAAAACATGCATGCTACAACTACTTCAAATAATAAATAACTCTGGATATAAATTATTCTAATACTACAGTTTTTGACAGTTATAGTATTAATCTAAATTAATTTAGTAAGAAAAGACTTTAAAAAATATGGAATACATATAAATTAAGTCCTGATCAGATTATCAACTTAAAATGTGAGAATCATGTATTAAGCTTATGGAAAAATTTATAAAGGCGGCTGCACAATTGCCTAGGAACGGGTACGAGAACAGAAACGGTAACGGGAAAAAAGTTAACCTCTACGTAAATCAATGTTTAGATGCACAATAACCGAGAACGAGAAGCCGCTCCGGTAACGAGAACGGGAAAGTTTCCCATGTTTTAACTTTCTCGTTCCCGTTGTTTTCCCGGAACCAATCAGAAAGCAGTATTTAAAATACTGTTAAATATCAAATAAAGATATGTTTACATTGTGAGTGACCATTTTATATCCTAACCCTCTTGTCTAAGCATTTTATTTATTTTACATTAAAATGAATAACTGTGACGAACTAATGATGATGTTTCTGAACGAAGTTCTGATGATGAATGAAGTTCTGCATTGTGCCCAAGACAGAGATGTAGTGCAATAAAGTCCTTCCCCCCTTTTAAATTTAATGTTTGTTTCGTCCCTTCTAAGTGTTTTCTGTTTTAGTGTGTTTAAATTGTCCTTAATTGTTTTTATCTAATATTTTAATTACTTGACTTTTCAATAATTTACTAATTGCCAATAGAACTTTATCAAAGTAATTTGATAACTACAAGTGGAAAATAATTGCACACCCACACAACTTTTACATCTAAACTTATTCATTGTCATAAAACTGTCACCTTCATAAAACAATCACTCAATAAATAACACACATTTCATAAATATGTCTCTCGAATAAGTATAAATAACTTTTAATAATACAATGGTATATTACATCACTTTCATTTAACAAACAATCACACACAAATCTCTTCTTCATTGGATCAAATCTATCTCCTCAAGAACTTCCCGTTTACTGTCAAACAACTGCAATAACAGAATTGAGTTCTCCATTCAACAATACATAGTAGTTTCAACTATGTTCTACCATCAATCAATTAATAGAGTACCGGCATCATTTGTTTAACTTTGTATCGAGACCTGAGGATGCTTTGCATATTGTAGAAAGCGAAACCGGTCGTCTGATAGTTAAATTAAATTGATTGTGAGTAAGTCTTATTTATTATTTCTCTACCTATTTGAAATGGACTCACACAAGCAATACATTCATGATTAGTTTATGTGATGTTGTAGCCTCTTCAAGTGTTGCTTTAGCTAATCAGACCGAAAGCTCTTCTAGTATTCTAAATAACCGAAATAAAATTAATTCTCCTTGTATGTCTGCTCCTGTTGCACAAAAACGTCATTGTTGTCACAACAAAGTTAGTGAAGGAACACCACGAAGGAAATCTCCCATATTGACAGACACTCCGGAAAAATATTAATTATCACAGTTAAAAAAAAATGAAAACCAACTACTCTTAAAAATACTAAAAGGCAAGCATTTGCGGATTCTATGCAAAAGAGTTTATCAAAAAGAAGAATAACTTTTACATCTCGAAATGAAACCAAGAAGAAATCATCATCAAGCTCAGAATCCGAAAATGATAACTTGTCCCTTAGTAATGAAAGTAGTGATGAAGAAAATTAGAAGGAGCAGATATGTTATATATCTGAAATAATACGTTATGATTACAAGCTTTAATTACAATTACAAGCTTTAATTTTCTCTAAGTGAGAGTCTATATGTGATAATGCAACTATGCAAATAAACCTAGCAGAAGGTCTAACAACAAGCAAAATAAGATCAAAAAGGTGAGTTAGACAGAAATAGAATCTCTCCAAAATTGTTAACCCTTTCATTAGAAGATCTGTTTGAGAAGTTAAAACGGGAACAACGCGGAATTAACATCGATGGCAGATTTTTAAGTTATCTAAAATTTGCTGATGAATGATGGTATAGTACTCGTAAGGAAAAATACAGAGGAACTACTCTGCGAGCTAAAGGAACTTAAATATGAATCTGGGAAAATGGATATAAAAATGAATTTAAATAAATAACTTGGACAGCGGTAAGAGTTAGTATTGTGTTGAAAAACAAAAAAATACCAAAAATTAAAAAATCGTTCCTTTTTTTATCTGACAGTCGTATACCTAACATTGCTCTTTCCATTGTTCTTTCTATTGTGGCTAGTTTATTTATGTTTACCTTGGTTAGGATCCAGGTTTGACAGTTGTTGGTAGTACTTCTGATCCCACGTTTTTTATTTTTCTTTCGACGTTCTCCTTTGTTGTTTCGTTAGGCTGGCTTTGCGAGCTATACAATGATGTGTAGAAGTCTTCAACATTTTCTAAGCTACCGGTACCCAATTTGCCTACACTGTCTTTGACTACCAAATTTAGTTCCCCTTTTCAAGCAGTTTTTTTTTTATTGGAGAGGTAGTCTACATAAAATACAAAGAAAAATCGAAAAAAAATACTGTTTTTTCGATGTGGAATAACGTTGGTGACTCTCAGACAACAGCCTAGCATAATTGAGCGTTATAATTATGTACCTATCTAACTATATTCCTTTTATCGGCATGTAAGTACTATTTTAAACCATGCATACCTAATACATATTAACATATTTTATAATATACCTAATAAAACCCTAATAGTTACCATTTTCAATTTTAGCATTTAAGTAACGTTTTTATTTTAGAGGAATTAATTTATTAAACATAACAATAACAAATATTTATTAATGATAAATAATAACAATAATAATAATAACAAATTAAAATTAGCAACCAACGTGATAACAACATAATAACAACAAAATTTTAGGTCGAGAAGATCCTGCACCGACGCTATATTTTTAATAAGGCGAGTACAAGAGAAATCATTAGAAATCAATAAACCGGCATATCTATGTTTCGTGGACCTTAAGAAGACAGTCGACCAGGTCAAATTAAAGGACTTTATTCAGATATTGTACGCAAGAGAGATACCTCTAATAATAATTAAAACTTATAGAACTAAAAGTTGAAAAAGAACCAAGTGACGCAATTGGAGCCAAAAAAGAAAAAAATGCATGGTTACAACAGCAAATTTACTAAGATGAATTAGATGAATTGGAGTTTGGATAATAGAACAAGTGAAGAAGTTTAAATATTTAGGCATCACACTATCTAGCTACAGAAAGCTAGAAACAGAAGTAGAATATCAAGTAAATAAGGCAAACAGCACCGCAGGTTTCCTGAATGAAACAATATGAAGAAATACAAATATCGGGAAAGAAATTAAAAGCCAAATTTACGAAACAGTCATCAGACTAATAATGACATACGCGGCAGAAACACGACCTGGCACAAAGAGGACAAAAAAGAATACTAGAAACAGCGCAAAGACAAAAAACCTTAGCAAAATCGATTTTAAGACAATATTATACAGAGCTAGAAATACAGATATACGACAGAGATGCATGGTAGAGAATATCACGGGCTGGTTAAGAAAGAGAAGAGTAGAATCGTACTATCCTATAAGCCTAATAACAGCAAATAGCGTAGTAAAGATGGCGACAGACGGTTCCCCAATAGGAAACCAATCAGTGTGAGGACCACAACAATGACGGAATGATCACTTAGTACTGGAGTCACTTTAGAAAGCAGTCAGAGTCATGTCTACATAAAAAGAAGAAGAAGCAGAGTAACCTTTCCGGAGAGCTGACAATGAACAGCAAAGTTTAAGTTTTAGTGTTCAAAACCGGTAGTCTAAGGTACAATAAATTGATTGTGAATAACTCTTATATTTATTTCTTTAATCAAAACCTAAATTGTTTCTTGTTGCAACGTCACTACATAGCTGTTTTTATTCTCTACAAAAATATTGTGTAAAAAATATTTCGTGGAGTTGCTCGTCACTGAATTTCTGAACAAATAGCCAAACTAACGACACGATATTTTAACAACTTGATCTAATATTATTAAATAATTACCCAAACAATCTACAAATAAATATGAATATGTATTTACCTCAATAACAAAACTGGCGTTGGAATCGGACGGTATGGAAGCGTTGGTCATTGCCGACTGCGCAGAATCCGTACTAACCCATGAGGCCGAGGATCCCGTAGATCGTATACTTCCGGATCCCCCTCGCTTCTCCAGATCTCCCGTACTTCGTTGTTTCTTAAGTTTCAGTCCCTAAAATAATATTGTTATTACAAAAGAATACTATAAGTAAAAACAATAGATAAAACATATAGTATAACGTAATCAACCATTTAACATAAAGATAATAGCAAACAATTAGTTAAACATTTGTACAGAAGATCTTATGTATATAATTGGTACTGTAAAACACAACAGTACGATTTTTCAATTTAATAACTACATTACAAGCAGTGATTATTTCAGATGATGGCAATAGGTTATTATCCTTTGTCGTAATTCTCCAATATTTGGTGGCGGATATTCTGATCTAATCCGGAATCGTTCAACATGGCTCAAATAGACATATCAGGTAACATCATAATATCAAATCAGGTTGTGGAGTAGATCATTCCAAGTCTGCGCCCCGTAAACTAATGCGCTATCCTGTTAAAACCGTTGTTGGTTAGGTTAGGCACCTGTTAATTTCGTTTGTTGTGATAGTTTTTTTAAATATTTTACAGGAGATATAATATTGCCTTCTCTATAACATATTTGACTAACACTAACTGGTTAACAATGACATAAGGGATCTTAAGGAGAAACGTGGTTCTTCCCCTTAAGCATCAGATGCGAAAAATGCTGTTGTCAAGTTAGCTTTTACCTCATTATAGTAAACTGACTCTGCAAAACATATTTCAGATAAAAAAGGCAAGGAGGTCAAGGCAGTGCTGATGCAACACGGGCCACCACTTTCGAAAAAAACAACATCTGTAGAAAATGCGACAAACGCCAAGCAAGTCACATCAGATAAAATAACACATTCCAAGACGAAGCAATTTAAAAAGAAGTCAACATGTAAAGTTGCATCATCTTTAGTAATAATAAGAGGGAGGCTTCCATGATTCGAATGAATGAAAATGATCGGCTGGCACTCCTTACCGAAGAACAAATTAGAGAAGCCATTTGAAAACTGAAAAATAACAAAGCTGCTAGTTTTGATAATCTTCTTGTCGAACTTTTTAAAAACGGCAGCGACACCCTTTTAAAAGTTATGCATAAATATGCATAAATTTATGTACAAAATAATACTCCCTACGCCGAACGAATAGGCGAAGGATATCAGTGTGGCTACCGATCCAATAAATCAACAACGGACCAAATCTTTACAGTGAGGCAGATTTTTGAAAAAACCCTAGACTTTAATTATTATTTTACACAAGTATTTGGAGCAAAACTAGCTTTTTAACACACGAAAATATTTCTAGTTCAGAAAAGCAAATTATTATCACCGAGCAACGGATACATAGACTTAAAGCAAAGGCATTGTTTGCCTTATTAAAGCAGCCGCTAGAAAATACAGCGGTTTTTTTCGTTTGATTGTCAGAAAAATGTGCCTTTGCCTAAGCTTCCAGATCAAGCTAGTTATTTTAGTCAACAAATTAACTATTACAACTTTACGGTAATTCATGGATCATCAGCAGCACAGTTGATTCCAGAAAATATTTAGGTATTCTTATATTTGGACGGAGGTATATTTTCCCAAAAATTCTAATTCGATAGCTTCAGCTGTTTGGGATGTACTGAATAAGTTTAACTTTCCCAATGAAATCGATACAATTCGTATATTTGGTGATGGATGTGGGGGGCAAAATAAGAATATTATAATGATGACCATGCTTTCTGTTTGGTTGATGACGAAAGCTCCCCCAAACATAAAGACCATTAACATAATATTTCCCGTAGTGGGACATTCTTTTATACCACCTGAATATCCCTTATTTTATCCATTATTATCCAAATCCATTGTTTTAAAAACTTCTGACTACGAAGATATTATAGCAAATAAGTCGACAAACGAGGTGAGCCCAATTGTTGTGTTGACGTCGGTGAAGCCAAGTCTGTTAAGAGAGGAATAAAATTGACATGTATCAATCCTACTCAACTTCCTATTGGCTGCAAACTCAAAGGCGATAAATCGACAATAATTTTTCTTCTTAAAAAACATTATGGAAACTTTAAAGAAAATCTTTTCTTTAAAGAAAATCTTTTCTTTAAATAAAATCTTTTTTAACCCTTGAAGAGTGGAAAATAAGACTTCTGTAAACGATGTTGAAGCTGGCTACAGTGGTTTAAAACCTTGCGATATTAATTTGCCAATTGAATGTAAAATTATTATGGACTGATAGAATTACAAATAAAAAAGTACTGGAGAGGGTTGGTAAAGAAACAGAACTAATCACGACTATACAAACCAGAAAACTGGAATACCTAGGCCACATGATGAGGGGACCAAAATATGAAATTTTGAGACTCATAATACAGGGATAGATTCAAGGAAGAAGATCTGATGGCCGAAGGCAGAACTCATGGTTGAAGAATCTTCGTGATTGGTATCAATGCAGATCAATTGATTGCATTTGCAAAGAAGCAGAACTTACGCGTTTTGGACACACATTAGATTTTAGCAATAATATGTCTTGACTATATTAGTAAATCAATGTGTTTTTATAAATGTACTCAAAAATTTAACAAAATATTTAACTTACAGTAAACAATCCCTTCTTCACATTCCCCGACCCCAACGATCTCCGTCGAGCTGTTGGCTCAGCAGAACTCATCTTCAATACAAAACCTCCCCGTGAATCGTCCACCCTGCGGTCTCTCTTATCTGTTAACTCGGGGTTTGGACCACCTTGAGCACCTTCGTTGCTGCGTAAAGATGTTAACGACGCCCTCAGTGTTTTGTTTGCCCTGTACTTCGACGCCTTGCCGAAGGGGGCGCTCTTCCTTATACCATAGCCATGTCGCATACCTCTCATCCATTGTCCTTGATAAGTACCTGAAAAAAAAAAATAAAAATTATATACTGTGTAAAAATCTACTTTATTATTACACAGTGAAAGAATTCAACGAGAAATATGAAAATACCAACTAGAAATGAATTTAAAAGAGTATAATATTTAATAACGAATGTTCGTATCTGAAAGAACTAAAATTTTTAATAATAATTCAAACTTTTTTTTTTATTTACAAATTCGCATCAACACGAAGGTTATTGGCGAGAATCAGATTTAAAATAGTAAATATATTATATATTAACAAAATTAATAGCTTTTAAGTAGTTTAACATATTTGTGAATGAACAATTTGCACCAAGTGCTTTCTCTAAGTTTATTGAGATACCATAATTGATTCTTGCTGTGGAGAAAACTGGACAGTCTACCACAACATGTTTCACCGAGAGTTTAACGTTACACTGCTCACATTTTGGTTCGGATCCTTTAGTAATTAAGAACTTGTGCGTGGCACTGGTATGACCTAATCTAAGACGAGTTATTGTCACTTGATCCCTTCTTTTAGTGGGGAAACATATCCATGGTTTAATGTCCGGTTTAATATCCCGAAGATTGGACACTAAAAATTCCCACCGGTTTTGCCACTCACTTAGGATCCGCGATTTGATAACACTTGAAACATCACTAGCTATCACGTATTTCATAATAATAGAGTTAGCTGAATTGACGGCTTCACGTGCAGACTTATCTGCTTCTTCATTACCTCAAATACCATTATGTGATGGGATCCAAATAAAGATTACCTCCTTATTACAATTTTCTATCTCTATAAGATTTTGTTTTATTTTTTCAAGAATATGATTCTCTGGGTATATTCTTCCTATAGATTGTAGTGAGTTTAGTGAATCAGTCAAAATTATATATTTCTGATTTGGTGAGGATATAATATATGTGAGTGCCTCGTATATGGCATATAATTCTGTATTAAGAGTACTATAGTGTATTGGCAACTTATATTTTTGACACATATTAGAGGATATAACTGCTGCTCTTACACCATCTGTTGATTTTGAAGCATCTGTATTAATTTGAGAGAAATTTGTATACTTTGATAATAAGTTTTGCAGATTTTGATGTATTATACTATGGTTAGTAGTGTGTTTGTCCAATGATGTTAGGGTAGTTATTATTTTATGTACTCCCAAAGTCCATGGTGCAGCAGGTTCAAAAACTAACGGGAAAGCAAGGAGGTAAGGTGGTGTTCAGTGATGAGAGATCTATTTTGATTCGGTGGTAGAAAGGTTTATGTAGACGTGGTTTATTGGAGAAACATGTTGATAATCGGTTAAGGAGATCATATTTGAAGGTGTGGTTGTTAAAATTTGCATTTGATTCAATTGCGTAGGTTAACTTTAAGTACATTCTTCTGTGATATAGTGATGGTTCAGCTGCTTCACAATACAGGCTTTCTATTGGTGAGGTTCTGTAAGCTCCCAAGACGATGCGGAGTGCAGTATTGTGTATTGAATCTAAAATGTTAAGGAAATATGCTATCGCGCCATAGTCTAATTTAGATCTGATTAGAGTTCTACAGAGAGAGAGAGAGAGAGCATAGTTTGTCTATCTGCCCCCAGTCTTTTTTAGATAGTGATTTAAAGATATTAAGTCTTGCTTGGCATTCGATTGCAAATTTTTTTAAATGTTCTTTCCGATTTAGATGTTGGTCGAATGTCATTCCTAAAAATTTTACATTATTTTTTCGAACTAGAGGCTTGTTAAATAGTGAGAGTAGAGAGTGATTAGGGTATCTTTTCTTTGTGCATAATATAAATTGTATTTTTTCTGTAGACAATTGAAATCCACAATTTAGCGACCATTCCTTTAGTTGATGTAAAAACGTTTGTAGCATACTCGTGATATTTTCCATATTTTGGCTTCTCACATAGATAACAAGGTCGTCTGCATATAAGGGACCTTTCAGTGGTGAGTTCATATTGGCTAGGACATCATTTATTGCTACTAAAAAAAGTGTAGGGCTTAAAACTGATCCTTGAGGAATACCATTCTCTAGTTTTGTTTTTGATGATAGCATACGATTAGTTTTAAAATGGAATGATCGATTGGTTAAGAAATTATTAATGAAAGCTAGCCAGTGTCCTTTGATATTTAAATTATGTAGTTTTTTAACTATTAGGTGTTTCCAAGTGGTATCATATGCTCCCTTGATGTCAAAAAATATTGCGAGGCATTTTTGATTGGCAGCAAAAGCTTCAAGTACGTCATTTTTTTATGCTAAAATATTGTCCATTGTTGACCGATTTTTACGAAAACCACTTTGATTTGGAATTATTAGGTTTCGATTCTCAAAAGTCCATAAAAGCCTTTTATTTACAATTTTTTTCCATTAATTTACCCATAGCACATGTCAAAGATATTGGTCTATATGAATTTGGATTACTTTTTAGATTGTTGGGTTTTAAAATTGGTATAATAATAGATTCTGACCATTTTGATGGAAATTTATGTTGCATCCATATTAAATAAAATAACTTTAGTAAGTACTGATGAGCCTTTGAAGGTACATTTCTTATAAATTTTACCGGAATATCATCAGGTCTCGCTGCCGAATCTTTAAACGAGGTAAGGGCTTCATTGTACTCTTCCATTGAAAACGGTGAGTTTATAGGACTTTTATCTATTTCGTCGAAATCAATAATTAGTTTATGTTCTTCATGTTGCTTAAGTGTGATAAAGCTCTGGTTATACTGGGTATTACTAGACCTATGTTTATAGGCGTTAGCCATTTCTTCTGCGATTTCGTTGTCATTAGTAATAACCTTATCTTGAATATTAAGTGAGTTGATTTTTAAATTCAAATTTTTTCCCGATATTCGTTTTATCTTCTTCCATATTTCACTTATAGGAGTAGAGCTGTTTATTTTAGAAACATAATCAATCCAAGACTGACGTTTAGCTGTGTTTATTGTAAGTCTAGTTATGGCTCGAGTTCTATTATATTCTAGTTGGTTTTTAAGTGATTTATTTCTTTTGTATTTATTAAAGGCAGTTTTACTTTCTCTAATGACCTTTTTACAAGATTCGTTCCACCATGGAACTGGTGCGGAGCGTTTCGTTGGAGCTGTTTTACCGATTGCGTTTTCAGCTTCCTTAATAATTATTTTGGTCAAGTTGTCTAGAGATTCTTCGACATTAATTATTGTTGTTTTACTTGTTTATATCTGACTCTATTTGTTTGGCAAAAAGCTTCCAATCTGCTTCAATTCAATTCCAATTCAAACTTTAAAATGGTATTTTAGAGTTTGCATGATTTTAAAAATGGATTATTTAATGACATAAAATCATAGTTCAATAGAAATCTCCATCGAACAAGTAACACAAAGATGAGATTGTCTTTTTTAATTAACATTCATTCCTGTATATTTATTTATGAGAGTTTCTTTTTTTTCCTTTTGAATGCAGTCTTCATGCCGGTTGAAAATTAAACAGGAATTATTCTTCAGTTCTTTTTATTATTGGGCTGATATTAGGTACGTCGCACCAGTTTCTTAAGTCTCCAGACTGAGTTTTATGTGAACTGGTAAACATCGATCTTCAATTGGTCTATTTTGTACATTGTACATTTTGTAAATTTACATAGACATTACACCTTAACTCTCCGTTAGTCGTGTGGGTGACAGGGCCATCCATGCATATATTTACGCTCATTGTACTCAACAGGTACGGTTGGACCTTATCACCACGTATATACCTTGATATTAAGGATGAAGAATTTGTTTATTTAATATCTTAGTTGCTTGAGATCAGCGGAGAGTTAGTTGTTGTGGCTGGATAAACGTTATTGGTTAACGCTCGTCACCCGTATGCCTAACTACGTTACTATTTGAGATCAGGTTCATGTTTTATAATTTTTTATTTTTAAAATATTTATATATTATTCATATTATTTATTTAAGGTTTTGTTGTACAATATTTTTATTTTTATATTATTGTGGGAAAAAAATCGGAAAATGTCTAAGCAGGAAAAAGAAAAATAGAGCTTAGCAAGGATCGAGGATTTCGATCTGTTTAAGTCTAAAGCTACCTCTGGTTAGTTTCCTGGGAGGTAGATTGCCAACTATCCCTCCATCTCTGAGGTGGTCTTCCGGGAGGTCTTGAACCGTGCGGGTTGTTTTCTAGGGCAATTTTTGGGAGTATATTCTCATCCAATCGTCTTACTCTGCCCTTTGCATCTTACAATATCTTGAATTTTGCACTGCTCTCTAACGTTTGTATTTCGCACTGCTCTCTGTCTCTTCTTGTTTTGTCCACTATTGTTTTTAGGGTTTTCAGTTCGGCAACCCTTAGCATTTGTTCGTTTTGTTGGTATCTTCGCGCACTTCTATGAAATATGTCATAATCGGTCGTATGCAAGTCTTGTAGATTCCAATTTTACTATCTGTGCGCATATACGGATTTGACCAGACTATCTCCCGCAGACATCCTGACATTGCGGATGCTTTGTTGATCTGACTCCTTAGGTCCTTTACTGGGTCTTGTGTGCTTGCTATATCTATGCCTAGATATCTGAATTGCATCACCTGTTCTATGGGGTTGTTCTCAACCACTAACTTACACCTGAGCGGATCTTTTGCTATTGTCATACATTTAGTTTTGTTGGTAGAAATGGTCATATTTAATTGGCAGCTTTTTTGAAAGAACTGAAAGAGCTGCCTCTGAAGTTCATCTTCTGATTCGGCAATAATTGCTGCATTATCTGCGTAATACACCATACCAATTTTTTTGTTGTCCATTCTGTATCCGAGATTGAGAGATGTTACTTTATTTATAATTTTGCCTATGTTGTTTTAAACAAGAACGGACTTGTCGCCTTGTCTAATTCCTTCCAATGTTGGAATATTTTCAGTGAATTAGTCTCCTGCTCTAACTTTAGTTGCATTGTTGTTATTTAGTATTGTTCTGAAGCTATTTATGTGGAATTTTAAAGTAATTACTATTTAAATGGGAATAAGCCACAATTAAAGGT